AACACCGCAGAGTCCTCGGCAGCGGAATCGGCAGCAGCTTTCTTTACTATTCTGTTTTCCCTGGCAGCACTTTTCCCATGCACTGCGAGCAGGGGGGCCTCGGGGCCTTCAACGCAGTCGTTGGCGTCCTCGCCAAGCCCCTCATCCGCGCCTTCCGGGGGCCCCCAGGGGGGCCCCCGGGGGGCCCCCAGGGGGGCCCCCAGGGGGGCCCCCTCCCGGCGGGGGCCCCGGGGGGGCCCCCGGGGGGCCCCCAGGGGGGCCCCCAGGGGGGCCCCCTACCGGCGGGGGCCCCGGGGGGGCCCCGGGGGGGCCCCCAGGGGGGCCCCCAGGGGGGCCCCCAACCGGCGGGGGCCCCGGGGGGGCCCCCGGGGGGCCCCCAGGGGGGCCTCCGGCAGGGGAGAGGGGCCCCCCAGAGGGACTTCCGGAGGGCTCCGGCCCCGGGGGGCCCCCAGGGGTAACCCCACCCAAGAAAGCCCCAGGGGGGACCTTGGTCCAAGGGGGCCCCCCCTCAGAGGGGCCCCAGGGGGGGCCCCACGGGGAGACCGGCCCAGAGGGGCCCCCAGGGGGGCCCCCGGAGGGCCCCACAGGGGCCCCCAGCGGGACTTGTAGACACGGCGGGGGCCCCTGCTGAAAGACATTGAAAAGACCCAAAGGGGCACTAAAAGCCAAACTAACAAATAACAAAAACCCTAACAGAATAAAGAGGGATCTGGGGGCCCCAAGGGGCATGTGAGCGCTCCCTGCTGCTGCTGCTGCAGTTGGGGCTCGCAGCAGGTGCTGCAGCAGCAGCAGCAGCAGCAGCAGCAGCAGCACCAACCTCGCGCTACAGACCCCACCCAGGAGCTCCCCAGGGGCCCCCACTGAGCCTCTTAGCGGGGCCCCACAGATGCCCACATGGGGACCCCCAAGGGGCCCCTCTAGGGGCCCTAGAGGGGCCCCTCTAGGGGCCCCCTTTGGCTCTACAGGGTGCAGCCAAAGGGAGCTGGGGGGCCCCTAGGGCCCACTTACAGGACCCTTCTTGGGCCTCGGGGGGCCCCCAGAGGCCCCCCGAGGCCCCCAAAGTAGGGGCCATAGTGCCCTTAGGGTTCTTTGGAGGGCCCCAGTGGCCCCAAGACCTCTATATGGCCTTTCCCGCTGCAGCTCCTAGGGGCCCCCAGGGGCCCCCAGGGACCCGCGGGGGCCCGGGGGGTCTCCGGGGGCCCCCAGGGGTCTATGGGGGCCCCCAGGGGTCTCTGGGGGCCCCCGGGGGTCTCTGGGGGCCCCCAGGGACCTCAGACGTGCTGGGGGCCCCGAGAGGCTCTGAGACCACCCAGAGGGCACTCAGAGGGCCCCAAGGGCCCCAGGGGGCCCCCAGAGGTCCTGGGGGGCCCCTGAGGGCCGCGTGGGGGCCCCCAGTGGGGAGTTTGGGGGCCCCCAATGGGGCATCTGGGGTCGCTGGAAGGAAACGTTGCTCCCCTCTTGGGGCTGCATGCAGCAGCTAGCTGCATGCAGCAGCTAGCTGCATGCAGCAGCTAGCTGCATGCAGCAGCTAGCTGCATGCAGACGGGCAAAAAGGCCTCAGTGCCCATTTCTTCTTCAAAGGCCCTTTTTAGAGGCCCGGGCTGCCTCTGGGGCTTTTGCATGCGCATGCAAACAGTTTGGCGAGCGTTTGGGGCTTTTTGCATGCGCATGCAACTGGGTGTGGGGCTTTTGCATGCGCATGCGCATGCAAGGGGTGTGGGGCTTTTGCATGCGCATGCGCATGCAAGGGGTGTGGGGCTTTTGCATGCGCATGCGCATGCGCATGCAAAGAGTGTGGGGAGTTTTGGGGCTTTTCCTCGCAGCGTGTTTGGAATGGAACTTTTTGGTTTTGTTTGTTTTAATGGCATTTAACTTTCTGCAATTCAGCATTTTTGAATTACTTTGAAGTCCAAAAGAGAATCAAAAAACAAAAAAGAGCCATTTAGACACTTTTCTGTCGATTAGAATTAATGGACAAAAATGAATTTCAAAAAAATGAATTTGCATGCAAGGGCTCTCGGGTGTACGTACACCCCATCCCCAAAAGAACTCTTCGCGGCCACAAAAAAAGTGAAAATAAATTTTATTCTTCAAATTCCAATTAAGACATTTCTATAAAATATAAATGTATTTGTATATTTATTTTTTATATATAGATATAAGAATATTATATATATGATAAATAATATATATATGATATATACTATATATATATATATATTATATATAATATATATATATTATATATAATATATATATATATATTGGTATATATATATATATATGCATAGATAATAAGCAGGTTAGGGGTTGTTAATCCCCAATTCTAAAATTAAAAATAAATTAGTTGTGGGAATTAACTTTTATTAAGATTTTTTTTTGAAAAAAAAATTCCATCTTTTCCAAAATGCAAAAATGGACTTTGCTGCTCTAAGTGTACGTACACCGCAGCGCTGGCAAATCTAATCTTCAAATTTAAAATTAAAATAATTAATTAAATGAAAACAAATAAATGGACTTATTTATTTAATTGAATAATTAATTAAATGGAAACAAATAAATGGACTTATTTATTTAATTAAATAATTAATTAAGTGGAAAGAAATAAGTGGACTAATTTGTTTAATCAAATAATTAATTGAATGAAAACAAATAAATGGACTCATTTATTTAATTAAATAAATAATTAAAGGATAACGAATAAATCGATTCATTTATCTAATTAAACAATTAATTAAATGAAAACGAATAAATTGTCTTAATTTGTCTTAATTTGTTTATATAATTAATATTGAAATAATTAGTTAAATAGAAATAAATAAATAAATAAATTTATCTTTTTAAAAGCACCACTTTACAGGCTCGTTGAAATTAAATTCTTTTTTTTTAATTTTTAATTTCGTTTTAATTAAAATGAATTATAAATGCAACAAATGTTAATTTATTTATTTCCAAATGTTCATATATTTATATATTTATACTTTAATGTAGATGTTATTTATATATTTATATATTTATGTCTTTATATTAATACAAATTTATATATTGATATATTTATATATTTACTCATTTATATATTTATATACTTATGTACATTCGTATATTTTTATATTTATATATATTTAGGTTTATATATTTATATATTTCCCCAGTTGTATATTTATATATTTATATATTTATATATTTATGTATTTCTCTATTTGTATATTTACATATTTATATATTTATACATTTATATATTTATATAGTTATTGAGTTATGTATTTTAATACTTACATATTTATATATTTATGTATTTATATATTTACATATTAGTAGATATTTGTACCTTTATATATTATCTATTTATCTATTGATATATTTATGTATGCATTCATATACATATATATATTTATATATTGGAATATTTATATATTTATATATATAGATTTATATGTTTATATATTAATATATTTATATGTTTATATATTTATATATTTATATATTTGTATATTTATATGTTTATATATTTATATTTTTATATGTTTATACATTTATGTTTGTATGCATTCGGTTGTGCTTTGCAGCGATTCGGGTTTAACGTTTTGCTGCTGCTGCTGCTGCTGCTGCTGCTGCTGCTGTTGCTGCAGCTGCTGCTGCTGAGCTGCAGCTGCGCAGTGTTCAATTTGCATCGCTGCAGGATTCTCTCTGTGCTTTGATTCTGCTGCTGCTTCTGCTGCTGCTACTGCTGCTGCTGCTGCTGCTACTGCTGCTGCTGCTGCTGCTACTGCTGCTGCTGCTGCTGCTGCTACTGCTGGTGCTACTGGTGCTGCTTCTGCTGCTGAACTAGGGCTACCCCTAGTGCAGCAGCTGCTTCGCAGGGGCCCTTTTGCAGCAGCAAATCTACAGGTCTTACTTTGCTGCTGCAGCAGCAAACGAATTGCTGCTGCTGCAGCAAATCTACAGGTCTTACTTTGCTGCTGCTGCATCAAACGAATTGCTGCTGCTGCAGCAGCAAATGAGTTGTTGCTGCAGTTATATGCAGCTCCTCAGCAGCAGAGCAGCAGCAGCGATCATCTAGATGAGTACGAGCTGCGGACTTCGCCAAAATTTGAGTTTTGTGTCTTTCTCATTTTGCTGCAGCAAATAATAATTATTTAATTCCAAAAATATAAAATTATTTAATAAATTTGATCAAATATAATTTTAAAGCTGCAGCAACAGCAGAAGAAGGAAATCTGCTGCAGACAGCAGCAGCGGGGGCCCCCCAAACAGGCAGGGGGGCCCCCTGCTGCTGCTGCAGCAGCAGCAGCAGCAGCAGCAGCAACTCTATAGACGCACTGGGGAAAATGAACTCAAAGGAAAATAAAAAGAATTAAAATTGTTAAAAATATAATTTAAATTTATTTGATGCGCAGGAAATGCTTTTCCAGTTATTTCTTAACCCGCGGCGGAACCAAAACCCTGCACTCAACCAAACCCTAAACCCTAAACCCTAAACCCTAAACCCTAAACCCTAAACCCTAAACAGTAAACCCTGGCCCTCAATGTCTCATCATTGAAGACAGACAAGAGAGTGGAGCTGCACAGGGCTTGTTCTCCACGCCTTTCTGTAGGCATTAGGGCTCAAAGCCTAGGGTTTAGGGTTTAGGGTTTAAGCTTTAGGGTTTAGGGTTTAGGGTTTAGGGTTTAGGCTGCTCAAGTATAGCCTAGCGCTCTATCCACGGCTTGGCTTCGGAGGTGAAGTTGATGCAGCAGCTGAATGGGTGGAGTGGCTTGGCTTATGCAGCAGCAACTGCAGCAGCAGCAGCAGCAACTGCAGCAGCAGCAGCAACTGCAGCCGCAGCAGCACTGCTGTGAAGAGTTCATACAAGAGCAGCAGCACCAGCAGCAGCTGGAAAGACAGGGGGGCGATGCTCCAGCAGTTCGCGCTGCCTTCTGCTGCAGCAGCAACAGCAACAGCAGGCGACGAGCAGCAGCAGCAGCAGCAGCAGCAGCAGCAGCAGCAGGCAGAAGCAACAGAGGCAGCAGGCTCTGAATCTGGCAACCTTAAGTCTCCTCAAGCAGACTCTCCCACAAGCAAGGACAGTGCTGCACTGCAGCAGCAGCAGCAGCAGCAGCAGCAGGGGTTCCTGCAGCAACAAGAGCAGCAGCAGCAGCAGCAGCAGGGTTCTTTTCAACAAGAAGAGCAGCAACAAGAGGAGGAGAACTCCAGGGCGCACAAAAATCAGCAGCAGCAACAGCAGCCTAACACAGAGAATACCCTGCAGCAGCAGCAGCAGCAGCTGCAGCAGCAGCAGCAGCAACAGCAGTTCCCCAGAGAAGAAGGCGACCCGCAGCAGCAACAGCAGCAAGAGCAGAAGCAGCAGCAGCAGAAACAAAAGCAGCAGCAGCAGCTCGAGCAGCAAAAGAAGTATTTGGCCTCTTTAGAGCAAACGCCGCAGCACGATGCTGCTGCTGCTGCTGCAGCATCCCTTGCCCGTTTGATTGCCAGCAAGCTCCGCAGCAGCAGCAGCAGCAGCAGCAGCAGCAGCACGAGGAGCTGTGAAAAGCTGCAGCAGGACTCAGCTCATGCTGCTTCCCTGAACCGGCTCCAGCAGCAGCAGCAGCAGCAGCAGCAGCAGCAGCAGCAAATGTATGAATGCCATCCTGTAGATTTCCTCCATGAGCTGCAGTCTCTCCCAAGACCTTTCTGGCCCCGAGAGCAGCAGCAGCAGCAGCAGCAGCAGCAGCAGCAGCAGCAGCAGCAGCAAGAACAAATAACAGCGGGAACTGTGACTAGTGGCTGTGCTCTCCTTGGCTTCCAGAGTGGCTTGCTGCTGCTGCTGCCGCTGCCCACGCGCGAGCAGCAGCAGCAGCAGCAACAGCAGCAGCAGCAGCAGCAACAGAGTTCTGCTGCAACCGGACAGCTCACAAATGGCCACAACCCGCTCCAGCAGCAGCAGCAGCAGCAGCAGCAGCAGCAGCAGCAGCAGCAAGTGCACTGGGTGCTGCAGGGCCACCAAGCAGAGATAACCGACATAAGTGTGGGGCCCCAGGGCCTCGTTGCTTCTGCTGCAGTAGACGGCAGCGTGCTGCTGCACCTGCTGCCAGCAGCGGTAGCCAGCAGCAGCAGCAGCAGCAGCAGCAGCAGAGGGCCGCAAAAGGCAGCAGCAGCAGCAGCAGCAGCAGCAGTGGTTGTGAGCCCTGAGGTGTCTCTAAAGTATACTTGCCCAGTTTTAACTGTCTCTCTTTTCCCAGGCTGCAGTTTATCCTTTTTGCCTTCTGCTGCAGCAGCAGCAGCAGCAGCAGCTGCTGCCTTGCGGAGCTCCACAGCAGCAGCAGCAGCAGCAGCAGCAGCAGCAGCAGCAGCGGGCCCCCCAGGAGGCCCTGTGTTCTCGCGTTTGCGCAGCTCCCAGTGGTCGCGGCAAGCAGCAGCAGCAGCAGCAGCAGCAGCAGCGCAGCAGCAGCAGCAGCAGCAGCAGCAGCAGGAAGTAGGCCTGCGGCCTGTTGCTGCAGTGGGCTGTGCGGATGGCAGGCTGCTGCTGCACTCCCGGGGAGACTTTGCGCAGCAAGATTTGCTGCTGCAGCAAGCGGGGGCCCCCGTTTGCTGCTGCAGATGGAGCAGCAGCTTTTTGGCTTGGTCGGGGGCCTCTGGAGTTGTTTATGTTTTTCAACTCAGCAGCAGACAAAAGGTTTGCTGCCTGGCCCCCTCTGCTGCTGCTGCTGCTGCTGCTGCTGCTGCTGCTGCTGCTGCTGCAGCAACAGGGGGCAGTGCGCCCGCCGCCGCAGCAGAGCCCGCTCACCCACCTGCAGCAGCAGCAGCAGCAGCAGCAGCAGCAGCAGCAGCAGCAGCAGCAGCAGCAAGGGGGGGGGCTTTGCTGCAGTGGGTCCAGGAAGATCTGCTTGCTGTTGCTTGGGACTCTGAAGTTCAGCTGCTGCGCATTGTTAGTTCTGCTGGCCGCAGCGCTGCTGCTGCTGCTCCGCATGCAGCAGCAGCAGCAGCTGCTGCTGCTGCTGCAGCTGATGCAGCTGCTGCTGTATTCTCCGGGCAAATTGTAGCAGCAGTGGATCTCTCGGGCAGCAGAGTGCTGGGCACGTTCCTTAGTTCTGCTGCTGCTGCTGATGCTGCTGCTGCTGCTGCTGCTGCACTTCAGCCGAACCTCTGCATTGTCACCTTGGAGCCTGCTGCTGCTGCTGCTGCTGCTGCTGCTGCTGCTGCTGCTGAGGAAGCAGCGGAGGAAGCGGGGGCAGCAGTGTCTTTGCTGCTGGTCTCATGTGGCGCTGGCTCGCTGCTGTCGCGCCAGCGGCTGCTGCTGCCAGCAGCAGCACCACCGGCCGCAGCAGCAGCAGCAGACGCAGCAGAAGAACCAGCAGCAGCAGCAGCAGCAGCAGCAGCAGCAAGGCGCTGCTCCTCAAACAGAGACACGAAGTATGTTGTTGCCACCATGGGCGTTGGCGGCTGTCTCCTTTGCTGCGGCCCCCGGGCATTCACTGTAAGTTGCTCACTGCTGCTGCTGCTGCTGCTGCTGCTGCTGCTGCTGCTGAAGCTGCTGCTGCTGCTGCTGCTGTGGCTGCTGTTATAGTTGCTATGTTCTTGTGGGCTAGTGAGCCCGTAGCTTTCTCGAGCGCGCGCTGCTGCTGCTGCTGCCGTTGCTGCTGCTGCTGCCGCTGCAGCAGCAGCTGCTTTTGCCCACGTTGCAGTGCGCTGCTGCTGCTGCTGCTGCTGCTGCTGTGGCTCTCAGCTGCGGCCCCGAGATGGGCGGGATACAGTTGCTTGGCTGCTGCAGCAGCAGCCGCTGCAGCTGTACGTACACCTGGCGCTGTCTACTGCTGCTTCTGTGTCTCCTTCGTTTGCCACGGAGAAGGGCTTCGAGGCAGTGTCTTTGCTGCTGCAGCAGCAGCAGCAGCAAGCAGCAGCAGCGCTGCTGCCGCACCTGCTGCTGCAGCAAGATGCACACTGGATGGAGCTTCTGGGGCTGTTCTCAGAGTATGGGGCTCTTGCTGCTTTTGGCTTCCAGATTGCTGAAGCAGCATCTCGAGAGCCAGCAGCAGCAGCAGCAGCAGCAACAGCAGCAACAGCAGCAGCAACAGCAGCAACAGCAGCAGCACAAATCAAACCCCCCCCAGCCCTATACTACGAGCTGCTGCGGCGCCTCCTTAGGTGTGCAGCAGCATCCATGCGCAGTCATTTGGGAGAGCAGCAGCAGCAGCAGCAGCAGCAGCAGCAGCAGCAGCAGCAGCAGCAGCAGCAGGACGAACCGGAGGAGGCCGCGAAGAACGCAGAGTCGCGGCTGCAGCAGCCTGAAAGGAACGAGCAGCAGCAGCAGCAGCAGCAGCAGCAGCAGCAGGAAGGCGTGGCAGCAGCGGAGGCCTTCCTGCGTTGCGTGTCTGCTTCGCCTTTGCTGCCTGCTGCTGTCAGCTGCGAGCTGCTGCAGCGGCTGCTGCAGCTGCCGCTGCTGCGCTGCCTCTCTCCGTGGGGCCCCACAGGCCCTCAAGAGACCCCGCTTGAGGCGCACGAGCGCGTGCTGCAGCAGCTGCAGCAGCAGCAGCAGCAGCAGCAGCAGCAGCAGCAGCAGCAGCAGCAGCAGCAGCAAGAGAGCACCGTCTTGCTGGCGAGTCCCCTTTGGGAACCTTTGCTGCAGGCTTGTGTGCTTATGGCTCACCAGCTGCGGCTGTTTTGCTGCGCAGCAAAAGCGCTGCTGCTGCTGCAGTCCCCTCGTGCTGCAGTGTACATACACCGCGTGCTCACGCAGCCAAGCGAAGCAGCAGCTTCTTGCCTCGACGGATCAGCAGCAGACCAAGCCTCCTCAGCAGCAGCAGCAGCAGCAGCAGCTGCTGCTGCTGCTGCTGCTGCTGCAGCGGGGACTGCGCAGGAAGAACAGCAGAAGCTGCTGCCGTCGCTGGAAAGTGCTGCTGCTGCACTTGCTGCTGCTGTGCCGGATATGGCGCTGCAGCTGCTGCAGCTGGACGCAGCAGCAGCTTTGGCGCTGCTGTGTCTGCGGCTGAATGCAGCAAAGCCGTGGCTCGCGCAGCCAGTGGTCTCCTCGGTTTGCTGCTGCAGCGGCAGCTGCAGCAGCAGCAGCAGCAGCAGCAGCAGCAACAGCTGCTGCTGCTGCAGCTGCAGCGTCTGCGGGCAAAGCAGCAGCAGGGGGGCCCTCTTATTTGCTGCTGATGCTGTGGTGCCCCGGCTAGTTTGCTGCGCCCCGTTGCTGCACTTGTACTTAAAAGCTGCTTACAGCTGCAGTCCTGCTGCTGTTGAGGCTTTCTCGCTGCTGCAGGTGTGCCTGCTGCAGCTGCTGCTGCTGCTGTTGCTGCTGCTGCTGTGGTTGCGTGTACCTTGCTGCAGCTTCGCTAGCTTCCTCTTGCCTGCATTGCTGCTGGGTGCTGTTGCTGCTGCTGCTGCTGCTGCTGCGGTTACTACTAGTGCTGCGCTAGTTTACGGCGCTGAGTTTCTGCTGCTGTGGCTTGCTGCTGCTGCTGCTGCTGCGGTTTGCTGCTGCAGATCAAACTGTACATCATGCTGGAGCCCCATTTGCTGCTGGACTTTCTTCGTGCTGCAGATGGCAGCTACGACTACGACCAAGCCTACGCGTTGCTGCTCCAGGAGCGGCAGCAGCAGCAGCAGCAGCAGCAGCAGCAGCAGCAGCAGCAGCAGCAGCAGCAGCAGCACCGGAAACGGGACAGTTCTGCTGCTCCATCATGCGATGGTCCAGCACAGGCGACAGTAGATGCGACGCCCGCAGCAGCAGCAGCAGCAGCTGCTGCTGCTGCTGCTGCTGCTGCTGCACCATCGGGGGCAGAAGCAAACGCCAAAACAGCAGCAGCAGCAGCAGACACGGCATCAGTAGCCGAAACCGGAGCAGTAGCCGAAGCAGCAGCAGCAGCAGAGGCAGCAACAACAGCTGAGGAAGCAGCAGAAGCAGCAGCAGCCGACGAGACGCCGGCAGCAGCAGAAGCAGCAGCAGCAGACGAGCCAGCAGAAGCGACCGAAGCACCAGCAGCAGCAGCCGAGACAGCAGCAGCATGCAAAGCAGCAGCAGCGCCAGGGGACGCAGCAGCAGCAGGCGAAACAGCATCGACAGGAGGAGCAGCAGCAGACGCAGCAGCAGCAGACGCAGCAGCAGCAGACGCAGCAGCAGCAGACGCAGCAGCAGCAGACGCAGCAGCAGCAGACACAGCAGCAGCAGACGCAGCAGCAGCAGACGCAGCAGCAGCAGACGCAGCAGCAGCAGACGCAGCAGCAGCAGACGCAGCAGCAGCAGGCGCTCCCGAAGACATGCTGCAGAGTTTGCGAACTTGCTTCTCTTCATTGAAGCCTGAAGTCCCTCGTGCTGCTGCATTTCTGCTGCAGCGGCTGGGCAGAGCAGCAGAAGCTGTGCTGCTGCTGCTGCTGCGCTGCAGCGACGTGGAAGCAGCAGTGCAGGTGGCAGAGGAGGCGCAGGCAGCAGCAGCAGCAGCAGCAGCACTCCCCTTTCAGCAGCAACTGGCTCCGCCGCCACACGAGAGCTGGGACCAACAACCGCAGCAGCAGCAGCAGCAGCAGCAGCAGCAGCAGCAGCAGCAGCAGCAAATTGAGGACCCCAGCGGGGGCTTGTGGACTCTTATTGTGGCTGTCTGCAGCAAACGCAGCTGCCTTCTTGTTGATTTGCTGCAGGCCCTAGACAGGGCCCCCCTGCTGCAGCAGCAGCAGCAGCAGCAGCGCGGCGGCGGAAGCTTTGCTGCAGATCTAGCAGGAGCAGCAACAGCAGCAGCAGGTGACAAACCGTCAGCTTTCCGTGTGCGAAGCAGCAGCAGCAGCAGCAGCAGCAGCAGCGGCAGCAGCAGCAGCGGCAGAGGGCTCACAAGGTGGTACTTGCTGCCGTTATCCCTTGGGCAGCAGCTGCTGCAGCTGGTTCCGGGGCCTGCGCAGCATTTGCTGCCAGCAATTGAGCGCCGTGTTGCGCTGCTGCTGCAGCAGCAGCAGCTGCTGCTGGAGGTGCAGCAGGCAGCCTGCGAGTGCATGCAAGCGGAGAAGGAAGTGCTGCAGTGGGAGCTTTTCTTCCGCAGACGCAGGGGCGTCACCATCAACAGCAGCAGCAGCAGCAACAGCAGCAGCAGCAGCAGCAGCAGCAGCAGCAGCAGCAGCAGCAGCGACTTCGGCGCAGCAGTGAAGGGGCAGCTGAGGCTGCAGCTAGAGCACGCTGCAGCTGCCTCTCCACAAGCACGCAAGCAGCTAAAGGCAGCACGAGCAGCAGCAGCAGCAGCAGCAGCAGCAGCAAGAGGGACTAAGACTCCGCTGCAGCTCTGGGCAGGCCCCAGCAGTGCCCCAATTAGCCTGGCTCCAGCTTTGCTGCAGCCGCCCTCTGCAGCAGCAGCAGCAGCAGCAGCAGCAGCAATGGGCCGGCCCAGCGCTTCTCCGCGGCGGACTCAAAAGATGTCAGCAGCAGCTCCTGGTGCTGCTGCTGCAGCTCCGTCGGCAGCACGGACTGCAGCAGCAGCAGCAGCAGCAACAGGTGCAGCAGCAGCTGCTGCTGCACTTAGCGAACCCAGGGGCCCCAGCCAGCGAAACTCCCTGAGGAGCTGCTGCGCTATTTGCTGCAGGCCTCTTGCTGCTGCTCCTAGTAATCGGACTGAGTTTCATTTGCCTTCCAAAGCAGCAGCAGCAGCAGCAGCAGCAGCAGCAGCAGCAGCACATGATGATTCAGACGCAGCAGTGAACACGCCGCGTGCTGCTCCTGGGGGGTCGCCGCAGCAGACAACCCCAAGAACCTTCGCTGCAGCAGCAGCAACTGCGCCGGCAGCAGCGGTTGCTGCTGCTGCTGCTACTGCAGCAGAATTGGAACAGGAGCAGCAGCAGCAGCAGCAGCAGCAGCCGGAGAAGATCGTGGTATTTTGGTGCGGCCACTGCATGCACAGCAGCTGTTGCGAACGGAGCAACGGCTACCTTGAAAACAGCAGCAGCAACAGCAGCAGCAGCAGCAGCAGCAGCAGCAGCAGCAGCAGCAGCAGCAGCAGCAGCACCGCCTCCGATGACATGAAGCTGTCTTGTGCTTTGTGCGCATTTGCTGCTTCTGCTGCTTGGAGGGGGACGTGGGGCCCCGTTGGCTGCTGGGGAGCAGCAGCAAACAGCTGCCTTGCTGCTCTCCCCGCAGACAGCTAGTCAGCTGCTGCTGCTGAGCAGCTCTCTGCAGCAAGGCCAAAGTGCCGCCCCGGACAGGAGCAGACAATGCTTGTTGATTTGTTACGATTTTTCACTCTCTAGGGTTTAGGGTTTAGGGTTTAGGGTTTAGGACTTGGGGCTCGCCTTCACGCCCGCCTCGTTGCAGCGCAGCACCGAAAACTTCACGCGCTGCTGTTGCTGCTGCTGCTGATAGTGCTTCTGCTGCTGCTGCTGCTGCTGCTGCTGCTGCTGCTGCTGCTGCGGAAAGAGAGCCCCGGCGTGGCCGATGTAGCTCAGTCGGTAGAGCGCGAGGCTCTTAACCTCGTGGTCGCGGGTTCGAGCCCCGTCGTCGGCTTTTTAAGTTTATTTTTATGGAATTAAAAGTTAATTTTTAATTTATTTAAATTTATTTCGGTTTTGCTGCGCCAAATAGTCGCCACAGAGCCTCGTTTGCACGGGGTGTACGTACACCCGAAGCGGCACCGCGGTGTTAGGTGGACTCTCTGCTGCGCCCACTTCGCCTCGGGAAACAGTTTAAATATCCTTTTTTTGCACTTTATTTCCTTTATTATATTTAATTGAACATTTATTTGCAAAATATTTATTTGCTTTGCGATGTTCTGAAGGAATAATTTCCTGCGGCCGGCCGTGGGGTGTACGTACACCCCATGGCGCAGAGCATCGAGGCGAAGCTCCGGGTCACTTCGGCGGTGTCTCGACGTCTTAAAAGGTGGAAAATGAACAAATAAATGAATTTAAATGAAATTAAAAGTAATTAAATATAAAATAAATGAAAAATGAATTTATTTAAATGTTAAAAAGCCGACGACGGGGCTCGAACCCGCGACCACGAGGTTAAGAGCCTCGCGCTCTACCGACTGAGCTACATCGGCTTGTCCACCACTCCACTCCCTAAACCCTAAACCCTAAACCCTAAACCCTAAACCCTAAACCCTAAACCCTAAACCCTTAAAAGCAGTGTCTGTCGTGCTGAGTGTGGACTCGTTACAGCTGCAGCACAAGCTGCAAGCGCTGCAGCAGCTCTTTGCCTGCTGCAGCCAGCATGCTGTGGGGCCCCACTGGTCCACCAATAAAGGACGCGCAGCAGCAGCAGCAGCAGCAGCAGCAGCAGCAGTAACAAGAACAGCAGCACGAGACACTGCAGCAGCAGCAAAAATCGCAGCAAGTGCAGCAGCAAACTTGCGACAGCAGCAGCAGCAGCGGATGTCACTTATTGCGTATTCAATTTGCTGCTTGCTGCACCTCCCCTTGTCTCTCCAGCTGCTGCTTGTCTGCAAATTAATTTAATTTAATTTAATTTAATTTAATTTAATATAATTTAATTTAATTTATAAATAATTTTCAAAAAGAATTTCTAAAAAATAAAATTGCAAATGCTGAACTCCTTGCTGCCAGGTGTCTGTACACCGCAGGCGACACAGCCAGCCAGTTTGGCAAGGTAAAGGCGCCTTGTGCTGCTGCTGCTGCTGCTGCTGCTGCTGCTGTTGCTGCTGCTGCTGCTGCTACTGTTGCTGCTTGCTGCTGCGCGCCAGCTCCCTTGCGCGCAGGCTGTGCAGCTGTGACAGCTCTTGTGTGTCTACGTCAGCTGCTGCTGCTGCTGCTGCTGCTGCTGTTGCTGCTGCTGCTGCTGTTTTCAGTTGTGGCTGCTGCTGCTGCTGCTATCAGTTGTGGCTGCTGCTGCTGCTGCTATCAGTGCTGGCTGCTGCTGCTGCTGCTATCAGTGCTGGCTGCTGCTGCTGCTGCTATCAGTTCTGGCTGCTGCTGCTGCTGCTATCAGTTCTGGCTGCTGCTGCTGCTGCTATCAGTTCTGGCTGCTGCTGCTCTCAGTTCTGGCTGCTGCTGCTGCTGCTATCAGTTCTGGCTGCTGCTGCTGCTGCTGCTCCCAGGCGTCTAGACCTCCTACTGCGCTGCTGCTGCTGCTGCTGCTGCTGCTGCCGTTCCTGCTCCCGGCCGTCTACGCCTCCTCCTGTGCCTCTGCTGCTGCTGCTGCTGCTAATTAATTACTAATTAATTATTTATTTTAATTATTTATTTTAATTATTTATTTTAATTATTTATTTTAATTATTTATTTTAATTATTTATTAATTGTTCTCTTAAGTTGCCATCGGAAGCCTCAATTCACCTCTGGGCTGCCCTCAAAGAGGCTTTTCGCCCAGAGGGTCACTCGAGCCCCCGAGGCCCTTTCCTACGCAGCAGCAGCAGCAGCAGCAGCAGCAGCTGCTGCTGCTGCTGCTGTTGCTGCTGCTGCTGTTGCTGCTGCTGCTGCAGTACACAGCAGCAGCAGCAACTGCAGCCAAGCAAATGCAGACACCCCATGAACCAGCTAAACCTCAGCAGACACTGCAGCAAAATGGACTTGTAGCAGCAGAAATAAATAAATAAATAATGAAATATTTATATTTATACAAATATTTAATTTAATTTAATTTAATTTAATTTAATTTAATTTAATTTAATTCCAAAAAGTGCATTATTTACAAGTGTACGGATGTGCTGCTGAGGTGTATAGACAGCTGCTCCCCACAGGGCGAGCAGCAGCAGCAGCAGCAGCAGCAGCTAAGAAAGCCATTTTCTGACTGCTGCTGCTGCTGCTGCTGCTGCTGCTGTGTGCTGCTGCCCTTCTTGTTGCGGCAGCCACTGGCTGCTGCAGCAGCACTGGCTGCTGCAGCAGCAAACGCCGCCGCCTGTAAGATTGCTGCAGCCCCTGCTGCAGCAGCACAGCCAGAGACTGCAGCAGCTGCGGAGACTGCAGCGAGAGTCCGTCAGCAGCAGCAGCTGCTGCTGCTGCAGCGGGAGTCGCAGCAATCACTTCCAGCTGCAGAGGCTCTCCGGCTGCCGCTGCTGCTGCTGCAGCTGCTGCATCCGTTGCTGCATCTGAAGCAGCAGCAGCAGCAGCAGCAGCAGCAGAAAGCCTAAGAATGAGGTATTCTTTTTGAAAGCCTTCACTTCGGGTCAGCCACACCTCAGCGACTACCCGCTTCTGCTGCTGCTGCTGCTGCTGCTGCTGCTGCTGCTGCTGCTGGGGACCTTCTCCATTCAAGTGCTGCTGCTGCTGCTGCTGCTGCATATGCGGCTGCCGCCTAAGTGCAACACGAAGGGGCTGCAGCACCCACCGTAGGGGGCGGCGCAGCAGCAGGCCAACAGGTGCTGCTGCTGCTGCTGCTGCTGCTGCTGCTGCTGCTGTTTGAAATCCTGCTGCTGGCGATGGAGCTGCTACCAGGCGCACATGCGGAGCCCTTGTTAGCTGCTGCTGCTGCTGCTGCTGCTGCGGAGTTAAAAGCTCCTGCGGCAGCGACAGCAGCAAAGAAGCAGCAGCAGCAAAGTCAGAGTCGACAGGCACCCGCACTGCAGTGACTCTGAAGCCCCTGCTGCTCTGCTGCAGCACCTCGTGCTGCTGCTGCTGTTGCTGCTGCTGCTGCTGCTGCTGCTGCTCGTCTAAGACATCCAGGACGGATTGTAGCGCCCGTGCCTCTTCATCGTGCTGCAGCATGCTCTGCTGCTGCTGCTGCTGCTGCTGCAGCAGCAGCAAACGCACATGTGCTTCTGGAGGCAGCACGAGAAAGGAAGGAGGCCTCGTAGGCAGGGCTAGGCCGTCTCTTTGCGCCTTGCAGGCAGCAGCAGCAGCAGCAGCAGCTGCTGCTGCTGCTGCTGCCACTGCTGCTGCTGCTGCTGGATGCCGACGAGCTGCAGCATAAACAGATCTTCCTGCTGCTGCTGCTCCCAGCAGCAGCAAACCCAGCCGGTCTTCGCGGCCTTGGGGGCGTCTTACCCGCAGGGGCTTTCGTCACTGCGCCTCTGCAAAGCTGCTGCTGCTGCTGCTGCTGCTGCTGCTGCTGCTGCTGAGTTGCTGCAGCTCGGGAGCCATGATCAGCAGCAGCAAAAACAAAAAGACAAGCCAGGAAGCCCAAGACCTCCGCATAAGGCCCCCCCAGGCAGCCAGTGGTCGGCTCCCTTGGCTGCTGCTGCTGCTGCTGCTGCTGCTGCTGCAGCGTTTGCTGCTGCTGTCTTTTGGCATTATTTTGGGAACAGAAGCAGCAAAATAAACAAAAACAAAAAAGGAAATGAAGACTCTGCTGCAGTGGCGGTAAATCGAGACCCAAGCAGGTGTGGGGCCGCGAGCAGCTGCTGCCTGCTGCTGCCTGCTGCTGCCGCCTCTGCTTCAGCAGGCGCTGCAGCAGCAGCAGCAGCAGCTGCTGCTGCTGCTGCTGCAGCATGGGCTTGGAGACGTGAGCCTCCCCCGCAAATTCTGGGGTGTACAGACACCTCAGAAGACTTGATCTGCCTCCGCTGTGCAGCCGCAGGGGGGCCCCAGGAGGGCCCCCGGAGCTGCGCTGCTGCTGCTGCTGCTGCTGCTGCTGCTCTGCTGCAGCAGCAGCTCTTTCGCTCTAAAAAAGCCAAATGAAATCTTCTAGTGAAGGCCTTCAGCAGCAGGGCTCACACAGGGGGAGGAGCGAAGAAGCAGCAGTGGCCCAAAGAATCGACTGAGCTGCAGCAGCAGCAGCAGCAGCAGCAGCAGCAGCAGCAGCAGCAAAGCCAGCAGCAGAATTCCTTATAGCAGCATCAGCAGCATGAGCAGCAGCTGACGACTATGGAGCCAACGAGGCGCGCGCTGCTTGGGCGGCGCCTGAGCTTCAGTTGGGGGCAGGCCAGTTTGCTGCAGCAGCAGCTGCTGCAGCAGCAGCAGCTGCTGCTGCTGCTGCAGCAGAAACAGAAGCAGCTGCAGCATGAAAAGCCGCTACTGCTGAGCCAGCGGGGTGGTATGCACAGCGTGAGGGCATCCAGCGGCTGCAGCAGCAGCAGCTTGCACAGCAGCAGCAGCTGCTGCAGCAGCAGCGGCAGCAGCTGCTGCTGCCGCCGCTTTGTGCAGCAGCTGCTGCATCCAGGCGCAGGCGTCACTCACCTCCCGCTGCTGCAGCAGCAGCAGCAGCAGCACGTGCTGCAGAGCTTCTCAGCCTTCAGCAGGCAGTCTAAGCGCAGCAGCAGCAGCAGCAGCAGCGCGCGGAGAGGCAGCAGCAGCCACAGGAAGCCGCCGCGGGGCGGCAGGAGCAGCAGCAGCAGCAGCAGGAGAAGCAGCAGCAGCAGCAACAAGCTGCAGACGCGGAAGCACAAACATGTGACAATGGAAAGGCCCATTCGCAATCCGCTGCACCCCACAGCAGCAACAGCAGCAATTAATGCAGCAGCAGCAGCAGGAACTGACCTGCTCAGATCCGGGTGTATGTACACCCCAGAAACAGCAGACGCCAGGCTGCTGGCAGCAACTTCGTGTCTTTGCAGGCGCTACAAATTAGCAGCAGACCAGCAGCTAATGGAGAAGTGTGCTGCTGCTGCTGCTGCTGCTGATGCTGCTGCTGCTGCTGCTGCTGCTGCTGATGCTGCTGCTGCTGCTCTGTTCGCCTGCCGCTGTCGCGTGCTGCTGCTGCTGCAGTGAGTCTGCAGGCTTGGCGCGCTGCTGCTGCTGCTGTTGCTGGAGCAGCAGGTTCTGCTGCTGCTGCTTCGAGCCAACTGGCTTGCGTTGCTGCTGCTGCTGCTGCTGCTGCTGTCTTTGCAGGTACGCACGGCGCGCCCTGCTGCTGCTGCAGCGCAGCACGCCGAAGCAGCTCTCGCTGCTGCTGCACTCCCTGTCCGGCTCGGCGCTGCTGCAGCTGGACGACAGCAGCAGCAGCAGCAGCAGCAGCAGCAGCAAGGGGGCTGTGCCGTTTCTCGTGCTGCTGGCGCTGGCTTCTCGTGCTGCTGCTGCTGCTCTCAAGCTGCTGCCCCGCTGCAACCCGCAGGATTTGGCTTTGCTGCTGCATGCGCAGACTCGCATATTTGCGGTGTACGTACGCCACCAGCAGCAGGTGCTGCTGCTGCTGCAGCAGCAGCGGAAGCGGCTGCAGCAGCAGCAGCAGCTGCTGCAGCAGCAAGAGGAAAGGAGGCGACGGCGCGCGGCCGCCCAAACAACGCAGCTGCAGCAGCTGACGGAGGACCAGCAGCAGCAGCAGCAGCAGCAGCAGCTGCAGCAGCAGCGGGAAGAGAAGCGCCGCCAGGAGCAGCAGCTGCTGCAGCAAGGCCTCCATGGCTCCCCAGGGGAGCTGGACAGCGAGCTGCTTGCTGCTGCTGCTGCTTATCCTGAAGCAGTGCTGCTGCTGCTGCTGCAGCTAGCTGACGAAGTGCCCCACAAGCTGCGGTTCTTTGAGCAGCAGCAGCTCTGTGCTGCCAGCAGCAGCTACGTGCTGCTGCTGCGGTCTTTGCTGCCTGCTGCTGCAGCAGCACCGCTCCTCTTTGCTGCGTCCGGCGCTGCAGCAGCAATCAGCAAGCCTCCTGCTGCTGCTGCTTTGCCTGCTGCTGCTTCCATTCGCCGCTGCTGGCCGCTGCTGCTGCTGGACCTGCAGCAGCAAGCCATAGAGCTGCTGCCTTTTGCAGATGGCCGAGCGGTGACGTCTCTTATGCAGTCCTTTGCTGCTGCTGCTACCCTCAGCAGCAGCAGCAGCAGCAGCAGCAGCAGCAGCAGCAGCAGCAAGAGGTTCCAGCGCACCATGAAGGCTTTGGCGGACCGCGCGCTACACCTGCAGCAGCAGCACAAGCTGACGCAGCAGCAGCAGCTGCTGGTGGCGCATGCACTGGCTGTTGCAGAGGTGGAGCATCCTGAGGCGCTGCAGCTTGCTGCTGCTGCTGCTGCGGCTGAAGGCAGCAGCAGCAGCAGCAGCAGCATTGAGGACGAGGAAGGCGCAGCAGAAGGAGATGAATACTGGTGCAGCAACAGCAGCAGCAGCAGCAGCAGCATTGCCCTACGCTTGCTGCTGTCTACCTGCGTCCGCAGAGGCAGGAGCTGCCCGCTGTCGCTGCTGCAGCAAACGGAGCAGCGGGCGCTGCAGCTGTGGCAGCAGCAGCAGCAGCAGCAGCAGCAGCAGCAAGATGTGCTGGACAGAGACAATGTGCTGCTTGCTGCAAAAGCGCTGCAGCTTCTCTACAGGGCGCCGCACTGCAGCGACATGTTTGCTGCTGCTGCAGCAGCCGAGCTGCACAAACTGCTGCGCCACATACAGCAGCAGCATCAGCAAGCCCTCAGCAGCAGCAGCAGCAGCAGCAGCAGCAGCAGCAGCAGCAGCAGCAGCAGCACTTTGGTCTACCCCAGTCCTCAATTGCTGACGGTCATCACGCGCGCAGTCTGTGTGCTGCAGAGCAGGTTCTTGCTGCCCCCAACTGAGCAACAGCATCAGCTGCCTGCTGCTGCTGCTGCTGCTGCTGCAGGAGCTGCTGCCGCTGCAACAGCTGCTGCTGCTGCTAGCGGCACAACGCTAACTGGCTCAGCAGCAGCAGCAGAAGGAAAGCAAACAGCAGCCGAAGAGATGCAGCAGCTGCCTGAGGGCGAGCCTGCGTCTGCTGCTGCAGCTGCCCCACAAGCTGCTGCTGCAGCAACACCAACAGGTGCTTCCGCAGCAACCGAGGAAGCAGCAGCAGCAACAGAACCGGCAGCAGCAGAAGCAGCAGCAGAAGCAGCAGCAGCAAAAGAGGAAGCTGCACGCCATGTAACTGAAATGCCTGCAGCGGTGGCGCAGCAGCTGCTGCGGTCTTTGGATGGCTTTACTAACGAGGCTCTTGTGGCGCTGCTGCTGCCGGTGCTGCGGCTGCAGCAGCAACAGAGTGCTGCTGCTGCAGCAAAACCTGAGCTGCTGCAGCGAGACAGGTGGATGCACCAGGAGCAGCAGCTGCTGCTGCTCAAGCACAAAATGTTTGCCCGCGCTGCTGCAGCTGTTGGCAGCAGCCAGCCGCAGCAAGTTGCGCTAATTGGGAAGGCCATTGCTGCTGAGGCTGCGCAGCAGCAGCAGCAGCAGCAGCAGCAGGAAGTGAGACTCGAAAGGCAGGAGCTGCTGCGGCGAGTGCTGCGGCGCATGCGCAGCAGCATCAGCCAGCAGCAGCAAGCTGAGTGTCTCGCCACCAAGTCGGCGCTGCAGCAGCTTGCAGCCTGTGGCCTGCTGCTGCAGCAGGGCAGCAGCAGAAGCAGCAGCAGCAGCAGCAGCAGCAGCAGTGCCACCGCCGATGCTGCTGCTAAGCACCCAAAGGATCTGCGGGTGTACCATGCGCTGCTGCACTCAGTGAATCTGCGCCTGGGGGAGCTGGCTGCGCAGCAGCAGCAGCAGCAGCAGCAGCAACAGCAGCAGCAGCAGCAGGAAGAGGAAGCAGAAGAGCCAGTTATCGTATCAGCTCTTCCGGGAGAATCAGCTCTTTCCCCGTCCTTTATTGTGCGGAAGATGCGGCAGCAAAAGCTGCTGCCAGTAGCAGGTGAAGAAGAGGAGCAGCAGCAGCAGCAGCAGCAGCAGCAGCAGCACAGCAGCCAGTTTAAGGATTCTCTCGAGGATTTAGCGGAGCGAACGGACATGCGGCTGCGGCAGCTGCAAGAGCAGCACAAGCTTCTGGCTGCAGAAGCCCTACAAAGCAGCAGCAGCAGCAGCAGCAGCAGCAGCAGGAGCAGCAGAAGCAGCAGCAGCGCTGCTGCTTCCGTTGCAGAGCTGCTCGCTGAAGACAGCCAAGCGCTGCAGCAGCTAGAACGAGAGCAGCCACACATTCTGGATCAATGGCAGCAGCAAAAGCAAGAGGCAGCCGCTGCTGCTGCTGCTGCTGCAGCTGCTGCTGCTGCTACAGCAAAAGCTTCTCTAGGCCGCCAGCCACGAGGGAGACGAGCCCGGTTGGCTTCTGCTGCAGCACTGCAACAGCAGGAGCCTTCAGACGATTACTCCCCTCAAGCAGCAGCAGCAGCAGCAGCAGCAGCAGAAGCAGCAGCAGAAGCAGCAGCAGCAGAAGCAGCAGCAGCAGCAGATGATTTGATAGAAGACAAGAGACTGGTGGTGCGCAGCAAGCTGCTGCATGCAAAGCTGCAGCAAAGTGGAGAAGAGCTTTCGGCTTTGCCTTTCCTGGACGTGGACGAGCCGCCGCCCAGGCGCCGCTAGCAGCAGCAGCAGCAGCAGCAGCAGCAGCAGCAGCAGCAGCAGCAGCAGCAGCAGCAACAGTCGCAGCAGCTAGCTACGCGCCTAGGCGCGTATGCAGCCGCATGACTAGCTAGCTACCAGAGGCTCGTGACTTTGCTGCAGCAGCTTGCTGCTGCGTCTTCAGGCTTTTGCTGCAGCCAGAAGCTGGCTGCTGCAGCCAGAAGCTAGCTGCTGCAGCTAGCAGCAGCAGCTAGTTGCTAGCCGCTGCTTTTTGCTTAAATCAATGCATTCTTTACTTACTTAAGTGTTTTATTTACTTGCTGCTGCTCCGCATGCAGCTTTTCGTCTTACTGCTGCTGCTGCTGCTGCTGCTGCTGCTCTTGGCGGCGGCAGCTCCCTGCAGCAGCAGCCGCAGCAGCAAAGCAGCAGCAGCTGCGCTGCACCAGCCTTTTCACAGACCCTTAGAGAGTGTAGCAGGAAAAGCTCCGTAGGCAGCAGTGTAGCAGCAGCACGTATAACAGCAGCAGCACGCGCACCGGCAGCAGCTAGTGCAGCAGCAGCAGGTGCAGCAGCAGCAGGTGCAGCAGCAGCAGGCGTTGCAACTGAGAGCGCAGCCACAGGCACAGCAGCAGCAGGTACAGGGGGAGCAGCTGCAGGCGCAGCAGGTGTAGCATCGGCAGCAGCAGGTGCAGCAGCAGCAAGTGCAGCAACAGCAAGTGCAGCAGCAGCAAGTGCAGCAGCAGCAAGTGCAGCAGCAGCAAGTGCAGCAGCGACCTTCGCTGCGTAATTTTTTAATGCTGGAAAATGTCTTGGCACATCTTTGGTGGCATCTACGGAGCACAACTTGGCAGCTCCTTGCTGCAGCAGCTGCTGGCGCTGCAGCAGCAGCTGCTGGCGCTGCAGCAGCAGCTGCTGGCGCTGCTGCAGCAGCTGTTGGCGCTGCAGCAGCAGCTGCTGGCGCTGCAGCAGCAGCTGCTGGTGCTTCCGCAGCAGCTGCAGGCGCTGCAGCAGCTGCTGCTGTGGCTGCAGCAGCAGCAGCACTGAAGAGGTGGCGTTAGGAACTGGAAGCTCACTAGCAGCTGCTGGAACAGCAGCAGCGGCTGCTGGAGCTGCAGCAGCTGCTGCTAACCCAGCAGCAGCAGCAGCAGCAGCAACAGCTGCTGCTGCTGCTGCTGCTGCTGCTGCTGCTGCTGTGCTTTAGGAAGCAAAGAAGCAGCGGCACCTGTAAATGGCTAAGTGGGTGAGGGGCCAGCAGGCCATGGGGAAGAAATCAAACAGCAGCAGCGCAGCAGCAAACAGCCGCAGCGGGGAAGCAAAAGCTGCAGCAAATCCCAGCTGCTGCTGCATGCAGCAGCAAAGCCGCCGGTAGGCCTGCAGCCGCTGCAGCAGCAGCGGCTCCAGCAGCAGCAGCAGCAGCACGCGAGCAGCAGCAACTCCAAACGCGGGCCCGCATTCGGGGCCGGAGTAGTAAGACCAAATGCTGCTGCCCGGCATTGGCGGCTTTTGCTGCAGCAGCAGCAGCACACAGCCACACACACACAAACGCACAGTTGCTGCTGCTGCTGCTGCTGCTGCTGCTGCTGCTGCTAAGCACTGCAGCAAGCTGCTGCTGCAGGAAGCTCTATCAGCATAGCAAGCGCAGCTGCTGCAGCAAAAAACGTCGTATGTGCGGCAGCTGAAAGCCGCAAGTACTGCAGCAAGCGCAGAGCGCTGCTGCTGCTGCTGCTGCTTCTGTTGCTTCTGCTGCTGCTGCTGCTGCTTTTGTTGCTTCTGCTGCTGCTGCAGCGAGTGTGGAGGAACGCCTGAGGCGTCAAACTGCTGTTGATGCTCCAGCAGCAGATGCAGCTGCAGTTCATTCGCGCAACCAAAAAATACTGCAGCAAGCAAAACCAGCAGCAGCAGCAGCAGCAGCAGCAGCACCAGCAGCAGCAGCAGCAGCAGCAGCAGCAGCACGGTCACCTGTAGGTACAGCTGAAGTCGCCAGTGCATCATCAGCCCCGTCAGCCGCTTCATATCCCGCACAGTTTGCAGCCTGCAGCAAAACAAGAAAGACACACCTGCTGCTGCTGCTGCAGCAGCAGCTGCTGCTGCTGCAGCAGCAGCTGCTGCTGCTGCTATTGCTGTTGCTGCTGCTATTGCTGTTGCTGCCGCAAAGGATGCTCTTGCAGCAGCTGCTGCTTGTAACTATGCAGCTGCATGTTCTCAGCCTATTCCTAGTGCTGCTCGTGTTTGCGTCTGCCGCTGCTGCTGCTTCTGCTGCTGCTGCTGCTTCTGCTGCTGCTGCTGCTTCTGCTGCTGCTGTTGCTGCTGCTGCTGCATACCAGGCATAGCCTGTGGGGTGCCCGAACTTAAGGGCCCCTTCAGCTGCCTTTACAGCTGCTGCAAGAATACCATCCATCTTCACTCTGTCTCTGCTGCTGCTGCTGCTGCTGCTGCTGCTGCTGCTGCTTGTGCCAATTAGCTTCCCTGCTGCTGCTGCTGCTGCTGCTGCAGCTGCTGCTTGCTCCTGCTGCTGCCTTCAGCGGCTGCTTACTTCCCCTTCTTTTGTGCTTCTCCCTCGTTTGCTGCTGTTTTCAAATTCGCTTTTTATATTTCTTGTTCAATTTATTATTTATTTATTTATTTATTTATTTATTTATTTATTTATTTATTTATATTAAATCCTTCTGCTGCTCTTATAACAGCAGCTGTTTTGCTGCTTCTTTTTTATCTCTTCTTTGCTGCTGCTGTGCTGCTGCTTCCTCTTCATGCTCCTTGCTGCTGCTGCTGCTGCTGCTGCTGCTGCCATTTGCTGCTGCTGCAGCTGCTCACTGCCGACTGCTGCCGTTGCTGCAGCTCTCTGCCATTTGCTGCTTTTGCTTTCCTTGCTGCTCCGTGCTGCTGCTGTTGCTTGCTGCTGCTGTTGCTGCTGCTGCTGTTGCTGCTGCTGCTGTCTGCTGTTTGCTGCTGCTTCTCTTGATGACTTCCTGCTGCTTCAGGGTCAACCCTTTGCTTCTTTTGCTTCTGAGTCAAAAACAGAAAATGTTTTATTATTTGAATTTCAATTTATAAATTTAATTCAATTTATAAATTTTAAAATTCAATTTATTCATTAAATGCTAATTATAATTTTTTGTGTACAAACAAGCTGCGGCGGCTGCCTCCCCATTGCTGCAGCAGCACAGCAGCAGCAAACAGAAAGCAGCAGCAGCAGCAGCAGCAGCAGCAGCAGCAAACAAAATGTAGCAGCAGCAGCAGCAGCAGTTCCTTTTTGAGGCACTTCTGGGGCCTCAGCATTTTATTTATTTATTTATTTTTATTTAAATTTATTTTAAATAAATTAAATCAAAAATAAATAAATAAAAGATTTACCACTTCGACACTTTTACTTCTTTTAATAAAGACATATTCTAAAAATAAGATTCTTTTAAATTAGTTTTAACATTTAAAAAAAGATTCTTTTTAATTACTTTTTATAATTCAAAAATATATTTTAAAATTCATTTTTATAATTTAAAATTTTATTTTAAATTCATTTTTAATTTTTTATTTTATTTCTTTTGAAGACAAAGTGGGAACATTTGTGCTGTCTTTGAGCAGAAGAACAAAAATTAATTAAATTAAATTAATTAATTAAATTAAATTAATTAATTAAATTAATTAAATTAAATTAATTAATTAAATCAATTAAATTAAATTAAATTAAATTAAATTAAATTAAATTAAATTAAATTAAATGCCGAAAATGGATTTTGGAAAGTGCAGGCAGTTTCAGGTGTACATACACCGCAGCGCGCAGCGCGCACTGCAGCAGAAAGGCAGCAGCAGCAAAACTATTTAAGTTTAAATCTGCAGCAGCAGCAGCAGCTTGCTGCAGCAGCAGCAGCAGCAGCAGCACCTGCTGCCTGGCGCTTCTCTCTGTCTTTGCTGCTCTCGTGGACCCCGGCAGGACGGCAGCAGCAAAATGCTGCTGCTGCTGCTGCTGCTGCTGCTGCGGTTGCTGCTGTGTGCACTCGGTGCGCTGCTGCTGCTGTCGCTGTGCTGCTGGGGGTGACACACCCCGGCTGCTGCTGCTGCTGCTGCTGCTGTTGCTGCTGCTGCAGAAGCCAGCAGCAAAATGTCGCGTTGCCGTTGCTGCTGCTTTTTGTTTTCAATGATCTAAACAAAAAGGTGTTTGGGGCTGGTTGCCCAATGGGCATGCAGCCGTGGCGGCAGCGGCTACTGCTGCTGCTGCTGCTGCTGCTGCTGCTGCAGTGGGGGCCCCCCTTAGAGCAGCAGCAGCAGCAGCAGCAGCAGCAGCTTTTGTTGCTTTTTAAAATAAAAATTAATATCAATGAAGGCCCAAATGCTTCTGCTTCTGCGGCTAGGCCCTGCAGCAGCAGCTCATTGGCGCCTTACAGTGGGGGGCCCCCAGGGTTTAGGGTTTAGGGTTTAGGGTTTAGGGTTTAGGGTTTGCTGCTGCGACCCACGGCTACGGGCGCCTTTGTCCAGGGCAAAAATGGTAGTGGTTTATTGATTAGTTTGCTGCAGCAGCTCCAGCTCCAGCAGCAGCAGCAGCAGCAGCAAGTGTCAGCAGCAGCAGCAGGCGCAGCAGCAGCAGTCGGCAGTGCTGCTGCTGCTGCTGCCCTCCTAATGAGCTCCCTTTGCCCCTTAATAGGGGCAGAAACCCCCTTGGGAGTTGGCTTTCCCAGCATAAGTTGCTGCTGCTGCTGCAGCAGCAGCAGCAATGCTGGCTGCAGCAGCAGCAGCTGCTGCGTCCCCCAGTATGAACAGCAGCAGCAGCAGCAGCAGCAGCAGCAGCAGCAACGCCGTTTTATTGGTCTTGACGTTGCCCCCTCACACCACATCTCTCTGTGAGTGGCTTTTGTTGCTGCTGCTGCTGCTGTTGCTGCTGCTGCTGCTGTTGCTACTCTGGTGCTGTTGCTGTCCTATTTTTGCTGCTACCGTGCTGCTGCTGCTGCTGCTCTGCTGCTGTTGCCGTTGCCCTTGCTGCAGTCTCTGGTCTGCTGCTGTTGCTGAATCCCTTGCTGCCGACGCTTGCAGCTCCTTTCTGCTGCTGCGAACATTTGCTGCTGCTGCTGCTGCTGCTGCTGCTGCTGTTGCTGCAGCGAGCTGAGGCCACGGGAGCTGCTGCTGTGGCTGACGTCCCCTCCGGCGCCGCAGCTTTCTGCAAAGGATGCAGCAGCAGCAGCAGATGCAGCAGCAGCAGCAGCAGCAAGGGCAGATGCAGCAGCAGCAGCAGATGCAGTAGCAGCAGATGCAGCAGCAGCAGATGCAGCAGCAGCAGATGCAGCAGCAGCTGCTGCACGAGGCCGGCTCATGGGCAGGATCCAGCTGCCGCTGCAGCTCAATGTTTCAAGTGCTGCTGCTTCTGTTGTTGCTGCTGAAAGCAGCAGCAAGACAACTGCAGCAGCCGGCAGCAGCTGCTGCAGCAGCAGCTCCTGTAGCTGCTGCAGCAGCAGAGTAATTGCTGTTGCAGCATTTCTGGAGGGAAAGCAGCAACTTCTTCGGCTGCTGCTGGCGCTGGGTGGCTGCTGCAGCTGTTCGACAGCAGCAGCAACAACTGCAGCAACAGCTGCTGCTGCTGCTGCTGCTGCTGCTGCACAGCCACAACCCCAAGGCCCGCAGCAGCTGCCTAGTGTATCCCTTTCAAGTGTATATACAGCGTGCCTCTGTTGGTGCTTATCACCAGCAGCAGCAGCAGCAGCAGCAGCAGCAGAAGCAGCAGCAGCAGCAGCAAATGAACTAGACTATAGTAGTCCTCCTCCCCTTAAGAAAAGACGGTCTGCTGCTAGAGCAGCAGCAGCGCCTGGAGAAACAGCAGCAGCTGCCACCGCAGCTGCTGCTGCAGCAGATGCTGCTGCTGCTGCTGACAGGCAGCAGCAGCTTTTTGTCATTGGGGCAGATCTGCTGCTGCTGCAGCGTGCTGCAGGAGCGCCGCTGCTGCTGTCGCTGCCGCCCACTCCGCGTGCTGCTGCTGCTGTTTTTGCAGCATGCTGCTGCAGCAGCAGCAGCAGCAGCAGCAGCAGCGAGGATAGCTGCTGCCTCCTTCACAGCGCCTGGAGGGAGCAGCAGCAGGAGGAAGAAGCAGCAGCAGATGCAGCGGAGTGCTACGCGTACTGCAGCAGCAGCGGCAGCAGCTGCTGCTGCAGCTGCTGCAGCAGTGCTGCTGCTGCAGAGTCCCCAGTGCTGCGCCCCGCAGGGGCCCCACTTAAGGCTGCAGCGCCTCCAAAGGCGGAGGCGCTGCTGCTGTACCTTCAGCAGCAGCAGCAGCAGCAGCAGCAGCAGCAGCAGCAGGAAGGTGAGGTGTTCAGCAGCAGCGCTGCAGTTTCCTCTGAGCTGCGGTGTCTGTACAGCAGCAGAGGCTGCTGCTTCTCCTTGGGGAGGCTGAGGGCTGCTGCAGCTCTGCTGCCGCGTGCTGCTGCTGCTGCTGCTGCTGCTGCTGCTCGCTTCCCAATCCGATTGCTGTGGGGACAGCAGCAGCAGCAGCAGCAGCAGCTGACGGTGCTCTGCATGGCAGCAGTTCCAACAGCAGCAGCAGCAGCAACGCCATCGAGATATTTCTGCATGTTCTGCGTTGCGCCACGACCTGCTGCTGCTGCTGCTGCTGCTGCTGCTGCAGAGGTGACAGGGGAAGCTGCAGCGTGGCTGCTGCTGCTGTGCGTCTCCCCACGCTCTGCAGCAGTTGTTGCTGCTGTGTCAGTGCCACTGCAGCAGCAGCAGATGCCGCTGTCCGCTGCGCCTGCTCTCTTGCTGCTGCTGCTGCTTGCAGCGGCAACAGCGGCACTGCGCTGCTGGTGGGAGACACGCTGTGGCTGTGTCAGCCGCAGCAGCAGCAGCAGCAGCAGCAGCAGCAGCAGGCTCTACTGGCTGTGAACCTTGCAGCAGAGCCTCCGGTGCTGCTGCCGGTTCTTAGCATGCCGCAGCAGCAGCAGCAGCAGTGGCGGTGGGCACTTTGCTGCAGCCTTCTCTGGCGGCTCCGGGGGCAGCTGCCCAGCAGCAGCAGCAGCAGCAGCAGCAGCAGCAGCAGCAGCAGCAGCAGCAGCAGCTTGCCGCAGCAAGCCGAGGAAGAGGAAGCAGTGGAGCTGCTGCTGCTGCAGGTGGCGAGACACTGCGTGAAAATCCTGGGAAGAGGCAGAGTTTGCTGCTGCTTGCTGCATGCGCTGCAGCCGTGTGGCAGCAGCTTAGATGCTGCAGCAGCTGAGAGCCTGTCTGCGAGCTGCAGCAGCAGCTGCAGCAGCAGCGGCAGCAGCAGCAGACGCAGCAGCAGCAGCGGACGCAGCGTCAGCGAGAGCAGCAGCTACTACACCGTTCAGAGCTCTGCAGAAGATGATTTCCTGAGGAACAGGAGCAGCAGCAGCAGCAGCAGCAGCAGCAGCAGCAGCAGCAGCGAGTCCCACAGCGCCTGCTGCTTCCCAGGGCCGTCTGCCCTTTCTTTAGGGGCTCTTAGGGCCCTCCGCAGCAGCAGCAGAAGCTGCTGCTTCAGGGATCGCCTGCTGCTGCAGCAAGCGGCGGCCACTGCTCGGCGAATTGCAGCAGCAGCAGCAGCAGCAGCAACAGCAGCAGCAGGAACAGCCGCGGGAACAGCAGCAGAGGACTGGGAAGTGACGCTGCTGCAGCGGGTTCTGTGGGGACTCACTAAGCAGGCAGCAGCAGCAGCAGCAGAAACTGCAGCAGCAGCAGCAACAACAGCAGAGAGGCTGCTTCTAGGAGATGCTGCAGGAGCTGCAGCGGCCGGCGCTGCAGCAGCAACTGCAGCAGCAGGACCGCTGCTGCAGCGTGCTGCTGTAAGTGCCTGTGTGTCCCTGCTGCTGTGGCTGGCTCATCAGCAGGAGGAGCAGCAGCAGCAGCAGCTGCTGCTGCTGCCGCTGCAGCTGGGAGCCTCTGAGGTGTGGGGCCGGTTCTTACAGCAGCAACAGCAAACCCTCATGCCGAAAGCAGCAGCAGCAGCGGGAGGTGCAGCAGCAGCTGCTGCTGCTGCCGCTGCCTTCTCCTCTGCTGCAGAGACTTGGCCACTCGCTGCTATTTTCCCTCCCACGGCGCAGCAGCAAGCGTTGGAACAGCAGCAGCAGCAGCAGCAGCAGCAGCCCCAGATGCAGCAGCAGCAGCAGCAGCAAAGCAACCAAACAAGTCCTTCTGTCCCGCTGCTGCTGCGTGACTCGGGTGTATGCACTGTGCATGCGCAGCTGCAGCACGGGGAGCTGCTGCTGCTGCAGCAGCAACCGCTGGTCGCAGCTCTGCAGGATTGCTTGCTGCTGCTGCTGCTGCCGCAGCAGCAGCAGTGTGTAGATTTGATGTTGGCAGCAAGCGAGGAGAAGCGGCAGCAAAGGCTGCAGAGGCTGCTGCTGCTGGACCAGCTGCAGCAGGAGCAGCAGCGGCAGCAGCGGCAGCAGCAGCAGCAGCAGCAGCAAACTGAACTCTCTTCAGATGGACCCATCAGCACTCTTGCTGCCAGGATGCTGCAGCGGGGCAGCGCCTTGTGTCTTCTTCTCTCGGGCTGCAGCAGCAACTTGAACTCCGCGCAGGCTCGCCCGCAGCTGCAGCAGCAGCTGCAGCAGCAGCAGCAGCAGCAGCAGGTGGCCGCCGTGCTGCAGCAGCGCCTGCTGCTTTCTTCTTCACCAATGTGGCGGCTGCTGCTTCTCGGTGTGGTGCAGCAGCAGCTCCAGGTGCGCGAGAGCACAAGTCTGGCGGGTGCTTCTACCGCAGCAGCAGCAGCAGCAGCAACAGCAGCAGCAGCAGCAGAACTGCCTCTCGTCCCTGCTGCTGCTGCTGCTGCATGCGCGGCCCTCTCAGACCGACTTTGCCGGCAGATTTCTAGCGCAAAAAGCGAGGGCAGCAAAGGCGGCAGCAGCAGCAAGGGCTCGAACACTCAGCAGCAGCAGCAGCAGCAGCAGCAACAGCAGCAGCAGCAGCAGCAACAGCAGCAGCAACAGCAGCAGCAACAGCAGCATGACTGCGAAGCAGCAGATGCTGCTGTGGCTCGCTGCTTTTTGCCCTTTTGGCTGCCTGCGGAGAGTTGCAGCTGGCAAGAGTGCCTTGACAGGGACCATGCACAGCAGCAGCAACAGCAGCAGCAGCAGCAAAAGTTGCAGCAGCAGCAGCAGCAGCAGCAGCAACACCTTCGACAACGACAGCTGGCACAACTTGTTCGTTTTGCTGCTGCTGCAGCCAGCGCCACTCATGCCGACAGAGTAGTGGGGGAGCAGCTGCTGCTCGCGGCTTCTTGGCAGCTGAAGCAGCAAACGCAGCAGCAGCAACAGCAGCAGCAGCAGCAACAGCAGCAGCAGCAATCCCGTGAGAGCCTGGAGGCGCAGCTGGAGCGGATAAGAGAAACTGTACGTACTGCTGGCAAGAGCTTTTGATTTTGTTGCTGCTGCTGCATCGAGTGTCGTTCTGCTGCTGCTGCTGCTGCTGCATCGAGTGTCGTTCTGCTGCTGCTGCTGCTGCTGCTGCTGCTGCTCTTAGGAGTGTTTAGGGCGTGTCTTTTTGCTGCTCAGGCGGAATGGTTTAAAGGCCTTTGTGGGGCGTTTGGTGGTCCATCTGCTGCTGCTGCTGCTGCTCCTTTTTACTCCACAGCAGCAGGAAGTCCTATGCGCAGCAGCAAATCCCCGAAGGCAGCGCTGCTGCTGTTGCTGCAGCAGCAGCAGCAGCAACTGCTGCTGCACAAGGGCGCATGCGGCGCAGGTGCTGCTGTACTTAACGCACTCAATGCCTCTTGTGCTGCTGCTACTGAGAGCAGCGAAGTGAGCTCCCCCTGCTGCTGCTGCTTTCTGCTGCTGCTGCTGCTGCTGCAAATACCAGATGCAGCAGCTGCAGCTGATGCTGCTGCTCCTGCCCTTGCTGCTGCTGCTGCCGCCTCTGCTGCCGCTGTTGTTGCTACTGCCTCTGCTGCTCCTGTTGCTGCTGCTGCTGCTGCTGCTGAATGCGTTGTGCATCCCGCTGTGTGCTGCTGCTGCAGGCTGCTGAGGCCTTTCTGCTGCTGTTCCAGCAGCCCGTGTCTAAGGAGCTTCGAATGCTGCGTCTGTCGCTGCAGCTGCTGCTGCTGCAGTCGCTGCAGCGCAGCAGCTGCAGCAGCAGCACTAGCAGCAGCAGCGTGTGCCTGAATTTGCCTGCTGCAGCAGCTGCTGCTGCAGCAAGGGTCTCGGGCGCCATGGCTGTGCTGAAGCAAACAGTGGACATGTACCTGCAGCACGCAGAGCCAGCAGCAGCAGCAGCAGCAGCAGCAGCAGCAATAGCAGGCTCTGGAGCCGCAGCAGCAGCTGGATACACCTACCGAGCTCGGCTGCTGCTGCTGCTGGCTCAGCAGGCAGCAGCAACTGCGCCGCACCTCGTGCTGCTGCCGGTACACAGATACCCACGGCTTGCTGCAGACGCAGCAGCAGCAGCAGCTGCTGCTGCTGCTGCTGGCGAGGACGTTGTGGGGCCGTGCATGCGCACCGAGATGTTGCTGCTTGCAGCAGAAGCAGCAGCAGCAGCTGCTGCTGCAGACCCTGACTCAGCAGCAGCACGCGACCTGCTGCAGCAAACCAGGCGCCTGGCAGCAGCAGCACTTATAGCGGATGGCTGCGTCTGTCGGGCCCTGCAGCAGCTGCAGCTGATGCAGCAGCAGTGGGGCGACAAGGCAGGGGCCTTGCTGCTGCTGCTGCTGCTGCTGCGCCTCATGTTGAAGTCCCGTGTGCTGCAACAGAAAGAAGCAGCAGCAGCAGCAATACCAGCAGCAGCAGCAGCAGCAGGCGCTGCAGCAGAGGAAGTTTCTGGGGAGACCTGTGGCTCTGCTGTGGCTTCCGAAGCAGAGAAAGCTCTTGCTGCTCGCTTGCTGCAGGCGGAAGCAGCAGCAGCAGCAGCAGCAGCAGCACAGTACAGCGCCTCTGACCCGCTGTCTATACTCCGCGGCGCTGCTGCAGCAGCAGCTGCTGCTTCCTCGCGTCCTGGGGAAGCCGGAGCGGAAGTCGCAGCAGCAGCAGGCGCAGCAGCAGCAGCAGCAGCAGCAGCAGCAGCACGCCTCAAGCTCTCTGCTGTGTCAGCAGCTTGTGCTGCAGCAGCAATCCAAGCGCGGCGGCTGCTGCACCGCCTTGCTGCTTACCATGGGGCGCATGCAGGGGCCCCTCGTGCTGCAGCAGCAGTAAGCCGTGTGTGGCCTTTTTGCTGCTGCTGCTGCTGCTGCTGCTGCTGCTGCTGCGCTGCTGCTGCTGCTGCGTGGACTGCGGGGCAGGGCCCGCAGCCTTTGCTGCAGCTGCTGCTGCTGCCTTGTGTTCCTTTCTGCTGCAGTTGCTGCTGGAGGAGCAGCAGGAAACCGGAGCTGTAGAAGCTGCTGCGCGCCTCTGTTTGCTGCAAGGCGCTGCTGCATGGTTAGTGGCTCGTTGCTGCTGCTCTCTTGTTGCTGCTGCTCTCTTGTTGCTGCTGCCCTCTTGTTGCTGCTGCTTTGCTGCTGCTGTTTACTTTGCAGCAGAAAATGCCACGGGGTGCTTTTGCTTCAGGCTCCAGCTCGTCCCGCAGCAGCAGCAGCAGCAGCAGCAGCAAGACCCCGCCGGCAGCTTTCCCCAGTGGCTGCTGCAGGCCACTGCAGCGCTGCAGCAAGAGCTGGCAGCAGCAGCACAGTGGCGCTGCATGCAGCAGCAGGAGGGGCGCAGCCAGGGGCAGCAGCAGCTGCTGCTGCGCGGTTTGCTGCTGCAGGATTTGCTGCTGCAGGATTTGCTGCCGCTTCTTTCCCCCTTGTTAGACAGCGCAGCAAATCTGCAGCAGCAGTACAAGGCGCTGTGCGTAGCAGCAGCAGCTTTGCTGCCCGAGTCGCCGCAGCAGCAGCAGGACAAGCAGCAGCAGAAGCAGAAGCAGCAGGAAGAGCAGCAGCAGCAGCAACAGCAGCAGGAAGAGCAGCCGCAGCAGCAACAACACAAGCATGAAGAGCAGCAGCAGCAGCAGCACGAGGAGCAGCAACAGCAGCAGCAGCAGCAGCAGCAGCAGCAGCCCTTTGCTGCTCTCTCCCGTGTTGCTGCACTAATGCAACAATGTGGAAAGCTGCTGCAGCAAATCCCCGGAAGCACTTTAACTGTTCCCCCAGTGCTGCTGCTGCTGCTGCTGCCGCTCACAGGCGGCGGCGATTTGCGGCTGCCGCAAGTGCTGCTGCTGCGTGCTGCTGCTCCGCGGCCGCTGTCTCCTGCGCCAGAGCCTGCGCTGCAGCAGCAGCAGCAGCAGCAGCAGCAGCAGCAGCAGCAGCAGCAGCAGCAAGAGGAGCAGCAGCAAAACGGCGTGGCGGCTTCAAAGGAGCAGACAGCTCTGTTGCCCCAAGCCTTTCTTGCGGCACACCAACTAAAGCGTCTTCAGCAACAGGAGCAGCAGCAGCTGCTGCAGCAGCAGCTGCTGCAGCAGCAGCAGCTGCAGCAGCAGCAGCAGCAACAGACGGATCTCAGTGAAGAGCAGCAACCTCCGACGTCTGATGTAAGACAGCAGGCAGCTGCAAGCTGCACTGTGGCAGCTGTAACGCAGCTGCCGCCTTTGCTGCTGCTGCGGCAGCTAGCCATATCTGCTGCTGCTGCTGCTGCTGCTGCTGCTGCATGCAGGCTTCTGACGTCACTGCATGCAGCGAGGAAGAAGAGCTGCAGCTGCCGCTGGTGGAGGAGCAGCAGCAGCAGCAAAGCCGCACAGTCTCCGCCTCAGAGGCGCTGCAGATATCAGCTCTTGCGCAGTGGGCCACGCTGCTGCTGCTGCTGCTGCTGCTGCTGCTGCTGCTGTTGCTGCTGTGTTGTGTTGCTTGCGTTTTTGCTGCTTCGGGTACTGTTAAGGCTTGTTCTGCTCGTGCTGCTGCCTCTGCTGTTGTGCTGCTGCTGCTGCTGCTGCTTTTTACAAGTGCGCCTCTCCGCAAAGTACCCCTAGGTACAACAGGAGCTGCTGCTGCTGCTGCTGCTGCTTTTGCTGCTGCAGGGCTCAATGCCTTCTAGCCTCAGTTGACGAAGCAGCCTATTCGCCGCTGCTGCCTGCAGCAGAGACAGCAGCTCGCCTTGTAAGCAACAGCGGCAGCAGCAGCAGCAGCAGCAGCAGCAGCAGCAGCAGCAGCAGCCTAAATTGCAACAGCAGCAGCAGCCTGCAAACTTTCAGTGCTGCCGTTCTTTGATTGTCAGGTTGCTGCAGCTTGCTGCTTTCATTTGCTGCCGCAGCTCCAGCTCGCCCCTCTGCTCGTGTGGTTCTTTGAGGTCTTGTTTTGCTGCTGCTGCGGCTGCTGCTGCGGTTGCTGCTGCTGCTGCTATGGGTTGCTGCTGCTGCAGGCATTCCTTGGAGAGCTCGCAGCAGCTGTTCGTCTTTGCTGCTGCTGCTCACTGAACCCTTTGGGGGCTTTCCACGCCTTTATTTACTGTGCTCTGAGATCCACAGCAAAAGTAGGCAGCAGCAGCAGCACCTGCAGCAGCAGCAGCAGCAGCAACAGCAGCAGCAGCAGCGGCGGCAGCGGCGGCAGCACCATACCAGCACTACTGAAAGCTGTTTCCTACTTTCAAGCCGCTGCTGTGCTGCTGTGCTTTCAGGGCGAGGCGGCACAGCAGCAGCAGCAGAAGCAGCAGCAGCAGCAGCAGCAGAAGCAGCAGCAGCAGCAGCAGCAAGGGAAACAACAGCGCAGCCGATGGGATGAGTTGCTGCTGCACCTAGAGAGGCACTGGAAGCTTTTGGCAGCAAAAGATGCAGCTCTTGTGGGGCTCAAAGGAGCTGCTGCTGCAGCAGCAGCAGGACCAGCAGCAGCAGCAGCAGCAGCAGCAGAGCGTGCAAAGGCCCAGCGACTTTTCGCAGCGCTGCAGCAGCAGCTGCAGTCTCTTGCTGTTCTTTTGGGGCCTCAGCGAATACCTGCCCAAGTCGTACGTGGCATAGCAGCAGCAGCAGCAGCAGCAGCAGCAACAGCAGCAGCAGCAGCAACAGCAGCCTGCAGCAAACCTACAGTTTTGCTGCAGCCATATGAATGTTACTTTGAGACACAGAGCCTGAGTTACACGGAGTGCCACTGGGGCCACCTTTTGCTGCTGCTCCTGCTGCTGCTGCTTCCACTGCTGCTGCTGTTGCTGCTTCTGTTGCTGCTGCTGCTGCTGCTGCTGTTGTGGCTTCGCTTGTTGTTGAGACGCCCAGCTAAGCTAAGTGTTCCCTTGTGTGTGCTGCACGGGTTTGCTGCTATGCTGCTGCTGCTGCTGCTGTTGCTGCTGCTGTTGCTGCTGCTGCTGCTGCTGCTGCTTTAGCTGGCATTTCTGCAAGACAAACTCGACGAAGAAGGAGGTGGACTGGCCCGTCTGCCGCAGCTGCTGCTGCAGGGCCGCCTGGAGGCAGCAGTGCTGCTGCTGGAGAAGCACGTAGCAGCAGCAGCAGCAGCAGCAGCAGCAGCAGCAGCAGCAGCAGCAGCAGCAGATGGCACTGGGCAGGAGGCCGCGCTGCGAGAGCAGCGAGAGGCGACACAAGAGCTGCAGGTGCAAGCAGCAGCACTGGCCCAGGTATTTGCTGCTGCTGTTGTTCCTGCTGCCGCTGCTGCTGCTGCTGCTGCTGCTGCTGCGTTTGCTGCTCCTATTGCCGATGCTGCTGCTGCTGGTATGGTTGCTGCTGCTGCATTTCTTTTCTGCTGCTGGGCACTGCAAGCATGCGCTTGTGCTGCAGCCTTTGCTGCGTTTGCTGCTGCAGCTTCGCACTGCGGTGCTGCAGCAGCAGCCGCTGCTGCTGCCTCGGCTGCAGCAAACCCTTCTCAAAGCAGTGAGCAGTTTTCTTCCTTTTGCTGCTGATCAGAAGTTAAATTAAAGTTGCAGCAAACTGCTGCTGGTGGAGCTGCTGCAGCCAAAGCAGCAGCAGTCGCAGCAGCAGCAGCAGCAGCAGCAGCAGCAGCAGCAGCAAGCGTTTATTACACACTTTCAGTTGCGTTCTGCTGCAGATGCAGCACACTGGCGCAGCAAAGCTTGACGTTGCAGACACTGCATTTTGCCCTGCTGCTGCTGCTCTGCTGCTGCTGCTGCTGCTGCTGCTGCTGCTGCTGCGTCAGGGGGAACTTATGAGCCCTGGGGGGCTTTCTGGGGGCCAGAGTTCGGCTGCTGCTGCTTCGCCGTGTGGGGCCCCTTGTTTGCTGCTGAGTGCGCAGCAGCAAGAGCAAGTTTAGTTTTTGCTGCTGCTGCTTTCTCCCTCTTATCAGCAGCACATCTGTTTGTCGTCTTGAGCCGCTGCTGCTGCAGCAGCAGCAGCTGCAGCAGCAGCAGCAGCAGGCGCAAAAGATGCAACTGCGCCAGAAGCAGCAGCTGCTGCCGCAGCAGCAAGAGCAGCTGCTGCCGCAGCAGCAAGAGCAGCTGCTGCTGCAGCAAGAGTAGCTGCTGCAGCAGCAAGAGTAGCTGCTGCAGCAGCAAGAGTAGCTGCTGCAGCAGCAAGAGTAGCTGCTGCAGCAGCAGCTGTTGCTGCTGCAGCAGCTGCGCGGGCGCGTTTACCCCTTCATCTTGTCTATTTGCTTTTATTGTTTCAATAGGGATTAGAGTTGTACAACTTTGTCCATTTGTTTTGAAGCAGCAAAAGTCGTTTTGTTAGCTAGGGTTTAGGGTTTAGGGTTTAGGGTTTAGGGTTTAGGGCTTGGGATTAAGGTTTAGGTTTCGTGCAGGCGAAGTGTTCGCTGCCGCAGGAGCAGCAGCAGCAGCAGCAGCGGCAGCAGCAGCAGCGGCAGCAGCAGCAGCAGCAACGGCAGCAGCAGCAGCAGCAGCGGCAGCAGCAGCAGCAGCAGCGGCAGCAGCAGCAAATGGCCTACAGGCAGCACATGTAGTTTGCTCTACGCTAGCAGCAGCAGCAGCAAACCGAATCTGCTGCTGGTTTTTGGGGCGTGTGGGGCCCCACAGCCGCTGCTGCTCCTGTCTTGCTGCGCTCCAGCAGAAGCAGAAGCAACCTTGGCGGCAGCCACGTTTCTTCTTTGCTGCTGCTGCAGCAGCAAGCAGCAGCAGCAGCAGCGGCAGCAGCAGCAGCAGCCTCGTGAGCTGCTGCAGCGACTCGCGAGACTGCTGTAGGGAGAGCGCTAGCAGCAGAAGAACAAGCAGCATTGTTTGCTGCCTGGGTGGCTCTTTGCTGCTGCAGCAGCAAGGAGCAGCAGCAGCAGCCTCGTGAGCTGCTGCTGCAGCGAGGCTGCTGCTGCTGCGTGCGCTGCTGCTGCGTCTGCTGCAGCTGGGATAAAACGGCGCATTTTGCTTTAAATTTGTAATTTATTTTTAAATTTAAATAAATAAAAAAAGAATATTTGCAAATAAATAAACAAATGGCGGAAATTCATTTTAAAAACCCAGTAGACCGAGGCTGCGGTGCTGCGCCGACACCGCGGCGGCGCAGCAAAGCCTCCCAAGGGCTCTTTGGGGCAAATTAGGAGCTAAAATGGTTTAAATTGAATTAAATTGAAATAAAATAAATAAATAAATAAATGAATAAATAAATAAATAAATAAATTTGATAAATAAATGGACAAATAAATCCATTTTAGCCGAAACGCAGCAGCTGTCGGCACACCCGGCCG